AATGGCCAACTATATAATGGTACCAATTTTCTTTCAATTGTCTTTCTATGCAAAAAGAGGATTCATATATGATAATCTTATATATTGTAGTATATTGTATTATATCCACTACATTATCGTTGCAATTAAAGAATATAGAACGACGCAATTGTTTGTCCCATGAAAGTATCTCTTAGCAATTTATCAATTTAGAAGCTGCGATTAGTTTGTACACAATTTAATATCATTCTCAGAATGGAATATTATTTCGGTGACGGTTCAATGTTTTGGATAATCTTTCTTTCACCAATATTTAATACATCAAGAGCCGTCTAGTTTCCACTAAGCCCTATGAGAAACTTTTAAGGTGCTCTTTTAGTTAGTCGACATTTTTTATTTATTTAAATGGTATATTAGATTTCCATACCAAGATTGATAATAGTGCTCTCTGTTTTGCTAATTGGCATTTATTTTTGTTAAGAGAGGTTTTGTCTTTTTAATTTATTTCAACAATTATTGTTTTTGACAAAAATTATCTGGGACATTCCGTTTGCTAATACAAGCAGATGATAGTTAGTTAATAAGAGCTGCCTTTAATTCCCCAAACGTTAAAGAGTGGCGAATCGAACGAACTATACCAGTTGTTCAAACAAACTAGTACCATTTGCAGTACAATTAGTAGCACCTTGGCTTAGCGCAGCGTCTCTGCCTGCTATAAACCTTATATCTCAGTTATTTTATATATATTATTTATTTTATTATATTAGATCCGGGTGAAGGTCTAGTTCGGTCTTATAAATTGTTGGCACTACACCACCCTGCATTTAGGAAAATAAGCTGACTTACTTTTATCGAAATAACTAAAATTTTTTTCGATATATTCAATATAAAATTAATCTGATGGCCATGCTCGACATATTGGGGAGCAAGTGTTATGAACCAAATTGTCAAATCAATTTTGAAAAAGAGCTGTCATATGTTTAATGACGCTTGAACGCTGCTTCAGTCTGATTGTGCCAATCTTCAAATTTTTATTTCATAGCAAGGAGCTATTTTCCGAATTTTAATTGACCGAGTTTGAAAAATATTCCAATCTTTTAGTATGAGGCTGACGGGACTATTATATGAGAACTACAAAATTTATAATCTTATCTAAGCCCAATTAGTGTCACTCATAACTAATTTGACCATGTACCTTGAACGTGTACGATCAGTTGAAATAGAAGTTCAAAAGCTGAAGGTCCGGTAAAGGTATAACGAAATTGACTGCAATCAATAGCAAGTCTGAATAGGGTCGTATAATGCAGATAATTTAAGCAGCTATAATTTACAATTTGAACAATTTTAATTGTAAGCTTTCAATACTTTTGAAAAACGATCAATAACTTAGTACACTCCTCATAGCAATTATTATTAAGATATTTCATCAATAAGAGAGGAACAGTAAAATTATTCTCTTTTTATTTGAATAGCGCAATCAGTTGGAACTGAGGTTTCACGCTCGGTTGAGCAGAGCTTTAAGAAATGTTAGTCACGCCGAGGCAGTTAGCACAAATACTAGTACATACATACCTATTTACATACATTTAAACAAGTTTTAATTGAAATTAGTATATGAAAAAGACACTTATAATTAAGTTGTAAATATATATTTCGTCGAATGAATATTTTTTTTTGCCATCTGTCAGTAATTAGAATAAAATATTTGATTTAAGTACGTGATTGAATATACTTCAATGTTTATTATTTTTACAACTCCATATTTTCTGTCTAACACAGCAGGTTGAACGCATTTTAGTCAAGCTTTCAAAATTATATATGCACAAAATGAATTTATTGCGATATATATCCATTATTTTAGCTGCCCAGATACTCGTAAATTGTAAAATATACAAAATTCATAAATCATCGAAATATTGTTTGCAAACAAAAATCTACAATACGACAACGCAGGTACAGTTGTCAGTATCAGAGTGCGTGTGACTTCTGTAAGAGTGTGCACGTTCAAGGTTAACAAACCGATTAGCTTAGTCTTGCTGTCGCAGCAAAGTGCACAATTAAGAGGTTAATCAATTTCAATTTCAGCCCATAAAATGTCTTATATAGATCTCTGGATAGACAGCAGAGTGTTTTTAGAATACATAACCATTAAAATTTTGCGACTATTACACGCCGCACAAGCGATTTTATTAAGTCAATTACTTAGCCACAAGCAAAAAGCTAATGAATCAAGGCCGCTTTTTTGTAATGATTACTTTTATTTTGTTTTCTCTCTATTCCTCCCTACCGCTCAGAAGATCCAAAGAGCTCACGTACAACTACGTGGATCGAGTTCGTTTGGCCGAGCATTCGCTGCAACAAGATTATAGATGTCCGACGCGCGGTTCCGGCTGGCGGCACAACAATAAATCGATCTCGCACTTGGACTTGGCCACAAGCTGTCATAGCACAGCTTTTGGACCAAGTCATTGGCCACATAACCGCCAGTTGCGTCATTCGCGTTCGTTAGATTACGCACATCTAACGGAACGTTGTAAGGATCCATTGGATATTGCTGAATTCTATTGGCGTTTAGATCCAGAGGGTGATGCTTTATATGAAGATGAGTATGAAGACGAAGTGCCAGATGAGGAAAACGAATTAATATCACGATATAACGGAGAGCAGTCATTTCGCGATTATAACTACGGTGAGTATATATACCATGATATTGATCTTGTTTTCTAAACTATATATTATGTACCTAAATTTAGTATACTTGTATATATTTTCCAGCCTTTCTCTGACATAAATATATATAAATTTAAATTTAACGCTTTGGCTCCAGAGCCAATATAAAGATATCTCGTTTATTCCCATTCACTTGTTATGATGAGATCTTTTGCGATCTCTCTGATACCTATCTAGTTCGGATCAAACTTGATCAGATGGTATAATGTATTGTAAACCAAAATTAGTAGGTGAAGTTATGCTCATTCCTACTTTAGAGATAGGATCCCCTGTAATATTACTAAGGGAGTAACAAAGTTGCGATACTTTCGAAATTCTGCCACCATAGTATGAAAGAGAACTATCACAAAGAAATATGTATTTCCGAAACTAAGATAGAGAGGCGGCTTAGTTATGAGTACAATCTTCAGATTTAAACCTTTTATATGAGGATTTATTGGATGAAAGCCGTCGGTGAAATAAAAACCTATCTACATCTATGCGTTAACTATCAAAAACGTCGTACTATATCCGCAGTTCAAACTAACTTTTCTCATTTTACCTTTATTTTATTTAGCTGATAGTAATTATCACACCGCACTCGCTAACAATAACCAGCGTCTGCATCCATCGCATCTCCCTAATACTTGTAGTAGTGCTGCGAACAACAATTTAGTGAAAACGCCGACAGCGACGGCGACGGCAACTTTGCAAGGTTTCGATTTCGGCAGTGAGTCGTGCAGTTTGCGTCGATCGCGTAGCTTAGCCGTAATTCGTGAAGAAACATTTAGCGACTTGCAAATTACAACCGCCAACAATAGCCGACGATCGCAGTTGATACCACGAGCGCGCATTGTCAATCGGGGCTTCATACGAGAACGCGAGCGGTAAGTAAATATTAAATGTTATTAGAGCAATTTAAAAGGGAACTGAAAAGGAAAGTCGCGACTAAAGTGCACACCAATTATGTTTATAATACTTCTGTATAGGTACACTCCGCGCAAATATTTTCTTTCATAATTACTGTCGTTATACCCAACTACATATGTATTTTAGGGCAAGGGGAGTTGAGACATGTGAAGAACTTTGTGGTACTTAGTCAGTTAGTGTTCTGTGTCGTCATCAAATCTTGTTCTCCAAGATTACTTCTTACTACATTAAGCTGGCGAAAGCATGAAAACCATGTCGAGGTATAGAGTAGGGTGCCAAATAGTCACAATGCCAAATATCTTGTGACCTTTAGGTCCATAAGATGCTTACGGGCATCTTGTTTTGTATAAAAATTGCCTTGATATAACATTTTGAATTTATCTAATAATACAATATGTAAGCTGGTGGTTTCCGCATTTAAATGAGTTCACTGAGTTGAGTCTCAATAGAAATGGTTGCAGACAGTCCCATTCAGTTAAAACCCTGTTATTCCTTGAAGTAATTTCTATGCCGGTCGTCATTAAGTTCATGTAATAGTTGTAGGCAGATACGCGACATATTCTCATAAAGACGTGAGTCAACCCTTACCTTCTTCAAAGTTTAGTTAACTTAGGTAACTTTTACGTGCACCTTTCGAGAGTTGGTAAGTGGCTCTGCGTGGGGAACAAACCATAATTAGCTGTAGATGTCAATTGGTAACCCGACAAAGAGGACAAGTTTAGTGGTCGTTTAGCTACCGAAATTTGGGGCATCAGTAAACCGATTAAGTAAGGGGTAGATGTGTGGAAAACGAACAAGAATAGCAGAAAATTGTCAGAGGTCATGTGGGGGAGAAGTTTTTCACGGAAAGACATATCCCATGAGAAGAGAAAAGGATTGCGGATGTTCAAATATAGAACCAGTAGAAGATTAGTACGATTCTTGCGATTCAATATGAGACTCTTATTATAACAAAATCGAAAAAATTCTAGTCTGAGAGCCTACACCTAAACTAAACAAGTGTATATATTGTAAAGACGAATTCACTTCGCTCCCCTTTTAAAGACAACTTAGAGAAATACAGACACAAATTTGGTGCTCGATGAATAAATATATATTAAGGCAGATTTAGATCCCTTTTAATTGTATTATATTTTAAAACCTGAGGTTGAAGCTCAGAATTGTGTCGAATGTATCCGACTCTCATCTTATACCAATTTTTGAAGTTTTTTTTTCAAAATTACACTTAAGTTTAGTTTTAAAAAACTGTTTATTTTATTAACCGATTATGTTCAGTGTAAATGGGCACTTAGGTAAAAATATTACTATAACTATTATTGCGTTTGTTTGCAAGACTGTGTATTTCTATGCAAATAGTTCGCGACGTAAGTGGTCCGCGTATAAGCCGATACTTAGTGACGAAGTTGGCGACAGCGAACCGAACGATGCATATGAGGAGGGGGATTGCTGATCGCAAAATCCGAAACATCGCGTGCGGCGCTTTGCGATTCACAAGTGTTTAACTTTTCAATTTCTCAGCGTTGGACTGACGCTTCCGTTTGTACAGCAGGGGACTGCGGGAGAACTACAAGCAAGTTTATGCGGATTTTCTACGAGTTGGTATCTACAAGCAGCTGATCAGCTGGTACGCTTTACGGCAACCCATAATAGGCCGCACAAAGCTTGCGAGCGGAGCTTGACAGAGTTTAGTACTTTGTAGTCACGCGTGTGAGCCATACGCTGCGCTTCCCAGACTTGGTCTGCTGTACAAATTTGACGTTTACATCAAATAAAGTTCCGAGAGGTAACATCGCGCTGTTTCCTAAATAATCGTGGTTAAGTGCAAAGCGAGTTTTATTAAAAAACTCAGATTGCAGTGCGGCGAAAAATCGTTCATTTTCGCGCATATTCAAAGCGAAAAGTCTACAGCAACTACGCTGGTATTTGTATGTGTGTGTGCGTATTTTCATGTTAATACTTGAACATCTGTGGCGCTTGTGTCACGTGTGCTATGGCGAAGTGTCGATGATTTTACGCCGCTTTGCGCCAAGTGCTGCTGAATCCCATGGACCCAGTGAGGGTTTTCTGTAATATTTTTTAGGAGCTTGCTAGTGTGTGTTGGTGCTGTGCACAAAATTTTCCGCTACATGCTAAACTTCGGCATAATATATGCGGTGTGTGGTTGACTGCAGTAGATTACGCGCCAATCTAGTGGAAAATTGCTAAGCTTGAGCCGCTTTCTGCCAACGGTGGAAAAGTTTGCATATGTAGTGGTGTGAAAATTTACATGCACCTACACACACGAAGTAAGTCTATCCAAAAAATCCCCACTTTTATTGATTTTTCATGCTCGCGAATGGCTGCTGCGAGGTGTGTGCACTCTTCGATATATTCGGGTTTGAGCTGAGCCCACCGACCCACTCTACACAGCTTATGTAGTAGTCTGTGTATTGTTATGACTTGCTCGTACTTATCCAAGCTACAGAAATTTCGTGGACCAAATATTTGGCTTATTATTTTTATTTTTGTTTTGTTCATAAGTCCGCAAAAGTCGGTAGTACTCAACGAGCTTCCGAAGATGAGATTTATAATGCAACATAATGAAAAGGCTAACAATTTGTTCTGGAAGAGACTTTCAAGTTCGCATGTGGCTTTAGCTAGTTGTTTTTAAGTCTTGAACGAATTTGTTTGTCATAAAACTGTAGAGAAGTTTCTGATTCAATGCTCAAAGTTTTCCACATTTAAAAGTTAATTGAAGGGCAATTCGTTGGCGTTGAGTCAGCGATGTGGTTTTGTGCGTGCCTGTGTATGTGCAAGGGAGGGATGCGGTGGCAATTGAGCTTCATTGGGAATAAGGCCGAAACTAGCTTTAGTAAACAAAAGCAATAAACTGCCACAAGCCAACATAAAATGATGAAACATGTGTAATATAAACATAACAAATTAGAGATTTAGTCTGAGCGAGATTTATGTGCAGTTTTAGTATACTATAAATTGCCAGTATTAAAAAATCAAACCCGTTATGACAGAATAATTTTCGAAACATTAAAAAATTGTCTACAGGAAAAACTGTTGTGCGATAATTTATTATTGCTATAAGGTATCCAAACGGACGAGTTTTAACGGGAATCGTTAGTCTGGAATAAATATCACTTGCCAAATTTTTTAACTTTTCTTTATCAATCGAAGATTATTTGAAATTAAAGATTTAGCGAAGCTGAGGAAGATTAATAATATGGAAGAAAATATGTTTTTATTACCGGCAGCACTTTGAAGCGTCTTGTTATTATCCGCCAGAAAAAGTTTTTTTTTATAATATAAGATTAATAACACACAGGAAATACTTAATCCAATAGTTTGTCCTTATTAAAACGGACAGAAAAGAATATAATATACGACTATTTTGAGAAGAATAAGGACTTGATGACTGCCATTACTAAACTGTTAATTTGCCAGTTTTAAGGGTTTATATCCACTCGTGAATTTCGAAAAAGCGAATATTGCACAAGTAAGGAAAGGCTAAGTTCGGATGTAACCGAACATTTCATACTCTTGCAACTTGCAAGGATCAAACCCGGGGATTTACCGTCTGGTGTTAACAAATCTTTTTATTAAAAAATGTTGCAAAAGAATTCAACATTCAATTTCGTGGACCGATTTCTGATATTTTCGGCATTAAACTATAGCATATCCAATATTATACGTTCAGTCAATTTTGCTAAGATATCTTATCGGTAACAAGCCAGCCGGAATTTTAAAAATCTTAAATTAGTTATATGAAAGCTAGGGGTAGTACTGATCCGATATTATCTATTTTTGAATCTACTAGTGATGACTATTAGAAATACCCGCTTTCTCAATTTTATTAATATAACTCACATATTTGCCGATATATTCGGTATACAGTCAGCCGAAAGTTGGAAAACATTTCTAAACACGATAAAAAGCAATAGGAACTGCGTTCCACGTATTCGGTATCTGGGGGCTTGAATAAATTTGAGACAATTTTTGGTAATAAAATGGCGCACTTCAAAGGCACTATTCGTGTAAAGTTGTATGCCGAATCATTCATTGGTACTTGATATGCACACTGAAAAATTAAAAAATCAGATAGAATTAAAAATTATCTCATATGGGTAGGCGTGGATCTTTTCTGATATCGTCTATTTTCGCACCGGAATTTAGAAATGTTAGGTTATTATTACTTACTATATTTGGTTGAAATCGATTGAATGGGTCCTGAGATGTGAGTTTTCACCAAAATGTGGACGGTGCCACGCCCATCGCTGTACCCAATAACAGCTTTATATCTTATTGTGGAGTTTATTTATGGCACTTTATAGGTTTTCGATTAATGCGCTTTGTGGACGTAATAATGGTTCGATTCCGCAATCCATCTGAAATGCCAACCCTCCTTGAGTGCAAAGACATGTGTACTAAGTTTCATCGAGATATCTCAATTTTTACTCATGTTATCGCTGGCACCGACGGACGGACGGAAAGACGTCGTCATTCTGATAATTTTTATAATATACAAGTATATATTATATAATTATATATTGATATTGTACATATATATATAATTATATATTGAACGTAATAGTCCCCTAAAACTTAAAACGGGTTTTTCTCGAAACGATTTTTTCAGATTTTGATAATAGATTAATTTTTTAGGCCACTCTAAAATGTAAAAAATCGGGAATCTACTATTTTCACAAAAATCGAAATTTTTATCAGTCCTACGATCATTAACTATATTTTCTATTAAAATGAAAAATTTGGTGTTTTTGGATTTGAGATAACTTGAAGCAGAGAATTTTCCTCCCCGCCACTCAACTTTTTTCGGATGTCATCTTGGATATCGGCTACGGAATCAAGGGAACTCAAATTTAATTAAAATGAATCAGCGATTATTAAAGTACATTCAATCCTGTAAATGCACATTAATATTTTTTATTTAATAAATGAAATGCTTCTTTAAAACTGGGCCTGCAAGTTGATATAACTCCTTAAGTCATGCTGTGGAAGATGGAAGTCTAATTAGAATACGACACTAGAAACAGATACTCGCTTTGCGTCAAAAATTTAACAATAGGATATATTTACTTACACATACAGTATTATTTGCTAAATGAAGTGAATACACACATTTTAGTACAAGTATGTCAATTAATTACTCGTCTATATTTAACTATCAACAAGTGTTCGGCGTCTCGGTGTTTTCGGAGAAAACAAATCATGGCTGGCATACATATAATGTAATGCGCTATCGAAAGTAATGGAGAATCGAGTGACTGATATGCAAATTAATGCAAATTCTAAATATATCTTATATGGCCAACAATGAAATCTACATAGTTTTTAAAAAATCTAAAATATATGGTTTTAAATAAATCTTTTTCAGAAGTGTTAATAGGAAGTCAGCAGCGGACCTTCTTTGCGAACCATTGAATAATGTTAGGAACTATTTCAAACTTATAAGAAACAAGAAGAAGAAAATAGTTGCACCCAAGCTCTAATACCCTTCACAAATAAAGAAGCTTCCATACAAGGACACGATTTTTTAGATCGTTATCTCAAAACCTAAGATACTAATTCGCGTATATGCAGACAGACGGGCAGACGGACATGGCTAAATTGATTCAGCTCGTAACGCTGATCATTTATATACTCGTATATATTTTATAGGGTCTCATACGTTTCCTTCCGGGGGTTTCAAACTTTACCATATACGAAGTTTGTTCAAAAAGTATCGCGTATTCTATACAAATCCTTTAATTCATTTTTTGGAATAAGCAAAAATCGATCGAAGACGTACCTAAATGCGTCCAAGTTAAACAGCTGTCAGAAGTTAACTAGACATTCAAAATGGCCGACCTTGTCAGCATAAGTAAGGGATATGAGTACCAACATAATGCAACAAAACAATTGACAATCGAATACACGTAGTCCAAGAAAATTCAAAAATCGCGATACTTTTTGAACATACGAGGTTTGCATGTTATGAAAATATCTTTTCTGACATTTTGATTCATCTTTCTCATGTGAATTTTTGGGCGGTGGAGTGAAACCTCTTTGAAAATCCTAAAAAAGGATCAGTTCAACGATCAGATATATACATTTTTAAAGAAATTAACCTTTATTGCAGCTATCATTAAAACGCCATCATTAAATTAGGTTACTTAGGATTATAGCTAATTAAACCCATAAGAGCATCTGCACGGTAATTGAACGATTCATTTTCTTGCCTTGCACATTGATTAGAAATTTAAACAGCTTTCAGCATTTGGAGAATAGATAAATATTGTAAACTAAAAATTTTGAAAAAGTGAGCATCGTTTAAATTTGTTTGTTTTCCCTGGTGATGTACCATATATAGTAAGAAGAAAAATTAGAACATTTCCTTGATTTATAAAAAACAGTGAAATGTTTAGGTGTTAGTTAGTTTCGGTGATTGGAATATGAGTGTACTCTGCCCTATCTATCTGTCTATCCACAAGAAGAGAGATCCCGCACACTGCGATAATTACGGCGGAATTAGTTTTCTGAGCACTGCATATAAGGTTTTTTAACATTATTGTGTGGAAGACTTAAGTCCATTGTAAATAAATTGCTTGGATATCAGTTGCCTACTGTGTGGCCTGGCAAATGCGGCATACACCAGATTTTCACAATAAGTCAAATGCAGGAGAAGACCCTTGACAAAAAGATCACCTTTTTGTGGATTTCAAAGTCGCTTTCGACAACACTGACAGATAACTCTTACCAACAGATAGATCTCTCTCTCTCGACGAACAAAAATTACGCGCTATAAGTCTCTTATTACTACCGTTCCAATGAAGAACCGAGCTGAGGAAGCACTTGGAACATTCGAGAAAACTGTTCTCCGCAAGGTCTTTGGAGCCGTTCGCGTGAGCGATAGATATCGCAGAAGATGGAACCACGAACTGTATGAACTCTACGGCGACGTGGATATACAAAGTTAAGCGCATAAAATCTAACAAATGTGCAGGTTAGGCCATGTCCTTCTCTTGGAAGATGATGCTCTAGCGAAAAGCTCCTTCGATGCGAAACTTGTCTGCACTTAGGATGTACAATTGGCTTGACCTCGCAAAGCATAGAGGCATCTGGCGAAGTTTTGTGTTCTCGGCCCAGACCGATCCACGGTTGTGGTGCGAAAGACGAAGAAAGAAATTACTAACCTACTACTTTAAGTACATAGGTAGGCATTGCCTTTGCCTTAGCAATTACATCTCAACAAAAGTAATAAGAGTTTACGATTACCATAAACTCATACATATATTTATGAATATGTTTTGTGGTTCCAAGTGGTGTTAAAACACATACATTTATATGTACATATATAACAAATAAATGTTGGCACATGAATGTCATTGCAACCGCAGCAATACAACAATAGATTGAAATTTCTCCGGATACACTCTTTTATCGAGCAATCCTTTTTATTTTGTGTATCACGGTTGACATCAGGCGTCCGAATTATGTTTGCTTGAGGCATTTTCTAGGTCATTTCATTGGCATCGAGCAAGGCATGTGGTCAGACCGTTGGCGTCTGTGCAGAAAAATGAGCCTACACACAGCATGCACGCCAAGTATATAGAAAATATGTGCCGAGTTGTAAACGGATGTCGCATATACATTTCTACATATGTAAACATACACATATATGTAAGTATTAATGCAAGCCCCGGGCGCTTTTGCTGAAAGTTTATGTATTTTATGCGCAATTTTTTAACTTTTAGAAGCTGAACGAATACAAAATATATACATATGTATACAAGTAGATATATACCATACATATAGCTTACACTACAAAACTCATAGTGCACGGGATTTTCAGTATTGTTTTAATAGTGGATGAAACCAAATAATTACTTATTTTCCGATATTTTCAGTATTGTTTTAATAGTGGATGAAACTAAATAATTACTTATTTTCCGATATTCGATTTTAAGTGTTTTTGTGGAGAATTTAATGAAAGTAATTAAAAAAGAAATTGTTTTAAAATTTTTTACTAAAAAGGCTTTTTGAAATTTCAATGTAAAATTTTATTTCGCCGAAAAAGGAAACTGAGATAACTTAGGAACCGAAAGCCGAGAATCATCTTACTACTTATCAATAATGCTAACATTATAGATAAGAAATAGGTCGACGCTTTATCCTCAGTTCACATATTTGGATTCCTTTCGATAATCATACAGATATCTTGAATTACAAATAATATTTATTCTTTCTGAAAAAGCTAGATTATAAATATATGGAAAGCATTGACACAAGTTGAAAGTCAGTGGAGTGAAAACGAGTAAATGCGATTAGAATTATTAAATTTTTGGCGCGTAAAGAGTTTAAAGTGTTGTTAATAAGCCATGGAAGAAAGGAAACCCCACAGCTAACTTCATGTTATGGCCGATTTGCTGTCATTTGTAATAGAAACAAAATGACATAAGGTTAATGATTTGTAAGAAGACATGTTTCACTTTGCAAGAAGCACATAACATTTCCTCCTGGTCTGTAATTCGAAAATATTGACATTAGTTGCAGATTAACGATGACGTATTGTAATATATACCACTTATGATTATTTTGTTTGTTTTAGTATATGAGAATTTTTATACTCTGACATATTAGTTTACACCATAAAGTATATATATATATAACGATGTCTGACGAGCTAAGTGGATTTAGCCAAGGCTCTCTGTATGTATTTCTGAGTTTTTGAGATAGCGAAGAAATTGTGTCCCTAAGACATGAAATAGCTACATATAAAGAAGATTCTTTGATGGATTCTTGAGCCTTTACAGCAATGTATTTTTTAACTAAATATCAAATTTTATTAAACAACGCATATATTTGACCAATAAATTAAAAGTGAAGTTAAAATATACAAGTCCACTCAGACTCTGTTACGCTCTTATTAAATAAATTAAATATGCCTCTAAACGTTGTACTATAAATTGTTCTGTTGAAAGCCTTAATCATGTGCAATTATGTATTTTATAACAATAATAACGAGAAACTATAAGAAAACCTATAAATCTTAAGTTCTTAAAAACGACTGAAACGTAACATAGTTTCACCTTCGTTGCGTGCATTCATACCCCAAACGGGAACGAACGAACAATGCTCAACGCCCATGCCCACTCCCCACTGCTGTCTTAATTCATTGTTTAGTCAAGCGTTGAATGATTGCAAAAAATTATTATAGTTAAAAGCACGGAGTTGTAAAAGCGGTCCGCACGCAAATCGCAAAAACGTCGTTTCACGGGCACGCTGCCCGTTAATTGTGTGTTACTTTGCGATATTTTTTACCAACACACTTGTCTATTGTTTATCGCCCCTGTTAATTTTCATTGAAATTTTAACAACTAGAAGTAGTAATATAATGTACACACACACACAAACTTGCTATATTGACTTGCACAATGCGCTCAAAGAAATGCGAAATAATAACAATCACAAGTGCAATTACTGTCATCACTAATTGTGACGTTTTCCCCACAGATTAATCTGCGGCGGCGGTGGCAACGTAGGCAGCGCCAGTAAGCATCATCATCACCACCATCATCACGGGGAGGAGCTCGACTATGAGGGACTAAGCGCCGTGGAACAGAAGGTGCAACGCAACAATAGCATCAACGCCGGCAGCAGAGACGTGGGGGAGTTGCAACAGCAGCAGCGCGCTCATACACACCTACATCGTCATCATCACCATCATCACGCGAGCGGCAGTGTCTGTGGCAGTGGTAGTGGCAGCGGCGGCGGCGGCAACAATAATCAAGACAACCTTCAATACCAAAACACACAGCAACAACAGCCAAGCGTACATCCACAAAGCCCAACACAAGCTGTACAGCAGCCGGCGCAACCGCAGTCACGTGAAGCGGACGACTATTATGACAATCTGAAGCGCTTGGATGCGCTGACATTGGGACTTGTTGAACAATTACACCCTTGGCATAGTGAGAAAAGCGATTTGGAGAGTTTGAACTCCGATTACTTTAAAAACTCACTACATCAGAGTCACGAACTACAGCAGCAGCTGGACTTTGAAGCGCTCGAAGAGGCGGTCAGTTTTTTGGCGAGTGAGAAACCACGCATTTACCAGTCGCGGCGGCAGCAGCGCGTGTTGAGCAGCGCACAGCAGAAACTACAAAACGCAACCGATTCCTATCAGGAGAACAGTCAGAGTAGCGCATTTCCCGAGACCACAACTAGTAACTCGGACGACCAGACGGATAGTCCTTCGCTGTCCGAGCAGGAGTACGATTTGAAAAAGATTGAGAAGATCTACAAGAAAACCGCAGCACTCGAGGCGGATGAGGAGAGTTATGAGCTTATAAGTCTCACGACAACGACACGCACACGCATAGATACCACTGAAGACGAAGAGGAGGAGCACGGGGACAGCAGTTTTAATTGCAACGAACAGTTAGTTGATTGCCCAGCGGCCGTTGCGGAAAGCGCTGAAAAAACAAACGAGCACGAACCTATTAATGGCGTGTTAAAACGTACGCGTGCCTTAAGCGGAAATCTCGAGAAACTCATTGCATACGACTCGGTTTATCTGTCGTCCGAGGAGAGTTCTGAAAGCACATTGATTGACGAAAATCATTGCGGGGCTTATGAGCGCACAACAGAAGTGACGGCACGACTCGCAGAGGACACTGGCGAAACAGCGACATTGCTGCATTTCTCCATCGAAGATATAATCTACGAACCGCACAACAAGCAACCGCTTAGTGACAGTGAGCGCAGAGAATTTGATACGGAGCAGCCAGCAGTTGCTGTTGCCTGCACGGCAACCATATTGACAGAGACGGATACGGCGGAAATTGCCACGCAAACAGCGAAGGAAAAGCAATTAGTTAGTATAGTGGAAACATTAAATACGAAAATTGAAAAGATACCGCTAACGGCGAACGTATTAGACGAGGAGAAGCAGGGTGCAACGCGCGAGTCGACGACATTGTATACACAGATATTGAAAGTCGGTCATACGTCCGCAACGTGCGGTGTCACAAATCCTAGTGAAACTACGTCAACGTCATCAACGACAGCAACAACGACTGCTAAAGCTTTAGTGACAACCGGTGCCACAGCGACGATTGCAGGTATAGTTAAGCCTGCTACAGGAGGCGCTTGCTTAACGTCACAGCCCACGGTGGGCATTACATCTAGTGCCGCAAGTAAACCGAAAATCCTGTCAGTGGTCGAGAAGCGTAAGTGGAAGCGCTACAACGACACTACAGCAACAACAAATGCTGTCAACTTAGGTGTCAACAACGAAGTCGTAGTCCTGCCACGTGGCTGTGGTTTAGAGTCAAACGCCAGCTCAGCTTTACCACCAATTGATTACCCACTTACGCCACTGAAGAAGCATCAGTCAACAAACGTTGTTGACACACTTTCGTACTCCCCATTCGCTACACAGCCGAGTGATAACCAATATCATAGTCTGCCGGATGTGAGTATAGGGCAGAGTCTGAAAGTGTCCGAATCTATCGATGCGAAGCTGAGATCTTCCTACAACGTACGCAAAGGTGAACTGAAAGAGTGTTGCAGACGTGCGGAGGTTGGAAATACAAGCAGCAACAACAACACCACCGGAAAGGCTACACACCTACTGGAAAACCCTACTAACAAGTGCAAATTAAAGCAACAACGTGAGAAAGTTGTAACTACTGAAGAAATTTACGACTCAATCAAGAGATTCGGTCGTGCACATCAGAAGGCAAGACAGAAGGAATATCAAGAGTTTCACGAAGTGCATGTGGAAAAAGAGAAGAAACGCGAGGTGAAGGAGAAGCGTCTCAAAGTGCAAGATGACGAAACGACTAAAACGGAAGTTTCAATAGATATACACACTACTTCAACATACCCCGACAGTTTAGCGGAAGAAGTTGACGGTGAGCAGATAGTAAGCGAAGACACTGCGGGAGCACAAGAGGTTGTAGTGCTACAAAGCGAAGTTGTTCAGGACGATACCAGCGTTGATACTAATGTGGCAGATGATACTGATAGCAATACAACAGCCAGAAGTTCACTGGATACCAGCGCAAGTGAGTATCAGGAGCAACCAAAGGACGCGCCAGACGTTGAAGTGGAAAACTTCAGCAAACTAATTGAGAGGCGCGCAAAAGAAATCAAAGAGAAATCTGCTAAACCCACTCCAACCGAGGGGGAAGTCAAACGCACTAAGAACGGCGGGCCAGTACAAAGTATAGAGACGCAACACAGAGAATTATATACGAAACAAGCTGATGATTATCACATAAACGCGGTGGCAAGTCAATTCCGAATAATTGTGACGGACGCGCAAGACAACATCATCGAAGAAGACGCAATAGAAAACGATGACAGCTTAAATAGCGCAGATCAGGTAGATCACGCGCCGTCAAATAATTCGGCATACCTAAAGCTTAACCTAGTAACGGATGTAACAACAAGAAGAAAAGGGAAAAAGGAAAATTCCACAAAAGATAAATCGACAATTGTAAGTACGCACACGCGTGTAGCATCGCTGAAGCGTGTGCCCTCGAAGCCGAAACGTCAGCAACACCACATAGCACAGCACCATCATTGCTGTCAACAGCAACATAATAAAGTCAAAAGCAATAACAGCAACCAGAATAAAGCGGGCGCTTGGTGTAGTCAAATCAGTAGCAATACAACAAACGCACCGAGTAACGGTAACGTTAACAGTAGTGTTAGCGGCAGCATTGACTACTGTCACGATAGCAACAATTACTGCGAATTATCAATAAAATCTAAGGAACATCGTGTGCTCAGCACACAGATCTACAAAGCACGTCCCATCAAGGTACTCACAGCGAACGATTCCTTCCGTAGACGTAGCACTGAGGGCGCCGTAACAGCCGCAGGCAGTAAGATGTCACGACCACAAATTTTGCACGTTGTCGACAACAAGCGGCGCGCTGACATACTTAGCACTGCCAAAAATGTACGAAACAATAATAACAGCAACAGCAATTTCACCAAGGCTAAACTAGCGGAGGAAGGCAGTCAGGTGGAGAGTGAATATCTTAAAAAGGTCGACGCAGTGCGCAATTACTGGGCGAAATTGACAAAAGAAGGCAATGAGCAGGTGACGGAATGCATGATCTTAGACAAACAAGTAGGTGGCATTCGCGAAGGCGAAGCTAAGGAGCAGAGAGAGCTTTCAGACTGCCAGACGCTGAAACATGCAAACAAACAAGAAAATGTTAATGAGCTAACGAAAATGAAGTTGGAAGCGGAGGCACAGCAGTTACAGCAGCCACAAAAACCGCAACCTGAACCGCGACATTTCATTTTGGGTCCACAAGCACACGGGCAAATACAATCACAGAGTCAAAGCACTTACGTTCAGCATCAGCCAGCTAAGCCCCTTAAGCCTAGCGCCAATCAAGATGAATTCTGCAGTTTTATGCCATCCATTGAAATAGTGGAACTGGACGGTGACAAGAAGGCCACCATAGTCAGTACAGTGCCGCCTGACTCGGAAGATGCCTCCGCTTTAGCTAACGATGCCAACGGTGAACCACAGTTCGATCACATACGCTATAAAGTACTGAAATCGCAACAACTACTGCGCAGCAATATAGTGCCACGTAGCAAGAAGGAGGCCCAATTCGATGGGCTGATACAATATTTGCAAGAGTACAGTTTCCAAGAGCTTTTGGCGAACAATAATGTCGTGATTGTGGAGCCAGTACGCACGAAAATCGAACGCCCACTAGCCATAGCACAGTCGGCAGCGAATGTGGCGGCCACAAAGAAACTAACACGAAAGTCCAATGAAGGCAATGACAGTAAAGTGGAGCAGAAACCGAAAGAGCCGTTAGCGAATGATGGTCTAAGCAATGCATGTATACCGAAACCCAAAGAAAAAATAAGTAAAGAAGTTGGCGAGACTGGTGAACGAGCTGCTGCAGTCGGTGGCATTAAGCGTCACTTCTTCTATCAGCCAGTGCGTGTCAACCGTGAGCTATACGAGGAAGAGTTGCCTAATCCGGACGTCGTACGTAATGTGCGCCGTTTCTTTGAAGAAAATGTGTTGCCCACACCGCGTGGTGGCATGCAGTTGCTGCATAGGCCGCCACCCGATGTGGATACATTTGTGGAACGTAGTGCGGCTACCCAACTGCCGAGTCCACGTGCGAGGCGTACGCGCAAGTACCGTTATCTAACCATAGATACGTCCTACGGACACTTGCCGCCTCAGCATCAAAACCATCAATTGCAACAACAGCAGCAGTCGAAGCAGCAACCTGAAACCCCGATTGCTAACAAGAATGGTAGTCCTTTCGCGCGCAAATGGGATACTACTAGCTTGTCGAGCGGTATCTCCAGCGGTGATTTGTCGTCACCTTGTGAATACAACGAAATGGACGCCGCGTGCACCGAGAAACCAGAGGCCGTCAATGAGGAGGTTCTAAAGGGCGTACACGTACAAGCGGTGGTGCAGAGACACAATAACAGGAATATGCGGCATACCGCAACGGAGCATATTGATGCCAATGTTAGTGGCGTGGATGACTGTAATGGACTTTTGCAGTTACGGCCACGTCCACGACCACGCAGTTGCGCCGTACGTAACAATGAAGACGCCACTTACCGTATCAGCGATATTTATGAGCAACATGCAAGTCAGCAGCAACAACGAAATTTCACAAGAGATGATAAAAATAGCCGACTTACCACGGAGACGGCCACTGACGACGAGGATGCCGATGACGAAGACCTTGACGATGAGGTCTACGAATCACATTATGTAAGCAAGGTAAGTATTGTATGTCGTAATATGGCAATGTGGTGGCTGCCACACAATTTAATTTTGAATACCCACAGACAGAGATACATGTGCCATAAGTTCTTCTTAGTCAGCAGAAAGCGAGTGTTTTACGCAAGGCGCTCGTAAAAGAGAGCAGTGCTGCATAAGGAAATGCCATTGGACTTATGACGCATTTATTTAACTCAATTAAGCTTATTTTATGCGGTGTAGTTGCAACATTACGTGCGGCATATCTTTTTGCCTGTTTCCTCTTAATAAGACTTTTGCGCCTCATCAGCAAGAAAACAAAAACTAATAGGCTTGACTAGTGTAGGTGACGAGTATTCAAATGAGAAAGCAAATGAAATTCTCGGTTTTGAAATTTAATCCCGTGAAGACGCAATTTTAAGCATTTTCTTTATAAAATATAATATTTATTTTTTACTCAGAGGCAAGCAATGTAATATTGTTGTTTTTGTCATTTTTCAGTAGTTATTTTTTAAGGATTTTCAAAGTTTTCTACTGTAGATGGTTTTCGTTTTCATACCTTTAGAGTTTTCTGGATGAATAACACAGCTGTTCATACAAGTACTTTCCTACTCAAAGTATTTCTTGTAAATCTGTTTTAAGACGACAGACCTCAGCTGCTTGTTTTTGTTGTTTTAGTGGCAGAAAACTCTTTCCAAATACTTTTGAAGAATGCTGCCCAATTGATAGTCCACAGTCAGATAAAAATCCGATTCAATTTTGGTGACGAATGTAAACTCGACTACCGTGAGAATGGATATTACGTCGATATGCTGCCTTACTATTTCGGAAAATTTCTCGTAACATACCTATTGTATTCAAAACGTATCTGGTGATTTGTCGAAAAAATCAAATTTATTTCAAACTATCTATTATCTATTTGAGACTGGTCGGATAATCTATTGGGTCTTCGGAGTACAGTACAGTTAACCTAAACCCTTAAAATATAGTGTGGGTATACTTCAGAAGAAAAGCAATGGTTGAATAAATTAGCAGACTATGGCTAGCTTTTTTCACAAAAATGTTCCTATTATAATTTGAATTAAAAGCATTTAAAATAACTCCTCTGTTTTTAAATTTCCTGCCTTTCATACTTTAATAGAGTAGTATTTGGTTTAAATCAAAAATTAAAGTTGTAGGCGTTGCAATGTAATTTTAATAGAAGATGTGTTTAAGGACCCTTGCTATCTTGGCAATGTTATCTCCTTCCACATTACGAAGGATCACAAAAACCGGTCAAGGGTGAAATCTTCGCTAAACCCAAAATATACCTTTTTCATGATTCGTTATTTCTTGCTTGGAAATCAACGCCTCGGAAGTAGCAAAAATCTCGATAGGAACTAAAATATGATTATGTTGCGATTGGCCGAAATTACAGGTTTTGGCGTTTTCCGAAAGTAGTGTCTAGGACTATGTTTTCCTCCCTTAAAGCCAAACAACAAAATGTTGCGAAGTTAAAGACCAAGCAATCCAGTGTTCCATTTAACAACTTAACTATTTGTACAAACATTTATCTGGAAAGAGACACAACTTTTCCAATTCCAACTTTGTAACCAACGTACAATTCAAGTACGGCCCTTTCACCTGCACAAAACAACCTTACGTATGAATTACATACACATTACACTTTGCATTTACAGGATGTGCTCGAGAAGATAAGGGAATGCGGCTCCACAATCACCTATTATGGCGGACGTGTATTGCAAAGTACTTCACCAGATCCAATGCCCACTGGCAACCACAACAATAACTACAATAACAATTCACAAGCAAATACAGCGAATACCAATACAATGACATTGACGAAACGTCGTGTGCGACAAATTGAGAGTTGCAACGTTTGTGAGCCACCAAGAGACTTTGCCGACCCGCAGGCTACAACACAAAAGTTCCCACAGCAATGCGATAAAGGCCATGACAAGAACAACAGCTCTACAAAGGGGCCAGTAACTGATGACGGTAGCAGAGAAAGTTCATTGGCGCACTTTGGTGAGTGGCAATAATAAAACCATATCTAGCTATAAAAAATCACGTGTTCGCTTTCTGGTGCAGAAACTGTTTTGACATTTCTCATTTTCAGGAATCAAATTCAAACTTGTCAAATCAAACAGTTGCAGCAGTCGCCTAGAACTGGCCGGTACTGGTGTCGAAGTCGTCGAAACGGGTGCGGACGAGGCAGAGGTCGTCAAAAAGATGGTGCATAGGTTTGAGTGTGGAAAGACAAGACGAGAAGCAGAGCATGGGGAAGAGCCGCTGACGATCAACAATCAAATGCCAGCTAGAAGATTGCTAGGTTGTGCCCAAACGACCACTGACATGGATGTGGGTGATGTGAAGCAAGTAACGGTAAATAATCACATAAATGTGCCTATGACTACATATACTTTGGAAGCGCCAAGTGTGAAACGGGACCATATAGATTACACACACGTGGACGATAATAAGCTCGAAATGGAGAACGCATATAAGGAAAAAACTTATCAAACCTTCGCAATGGACATACATTTGAGCCACATTGACCAGCGAAAGACCCAGGCACTTGCTGCGGGCGATAGTGTTGATGTTGGTGATGGCACGCTGAAAGTATGGCGAAATAAGAATGTCGATTTGGCTTTTACAATGGCTCAAAAACAGCAGCAGCAACACATGTTGTCAGCAGGGGAAAGCACCATAACCCTCAACCGAAATGCAACACAACGCGAGCCACCACAGTTTGCCAAACAAACTGCCTCCTCGACGACTCCAGCCAATACGCCATTGATAAGTCATAACGATGACGCGTTTAAAGGCATTCGGGAGGAAGACGAAAAATTCCAAAACAAAATAAATTTAAGAAATGACGAATTCAAGCAACAGCAAACGTGGAATGGAAATGACAGTACGTCAAATGAAACACTACGCATCTTGCGCACTCAAGTGGAACCTCAAAGAACTTTACATGCAACAACAACGCCGATACTCGCTCCACGCTCCAGTGAACGGCCGGCCCAGATTGTGGTACCCGTGGAAATTCATCGCGTAGACCCACAAACGCCCGAGCCGCACGGACGTGCAAGTGTGGCCAGCAGCCGCGGCAGCAGTGTAACAACCGTTATAACAACAAACACAACGGCGCTATTAGACAAAAGTGTAGTGCGCCATTATGTAGCTAATGACAAGAGTCTCTTCGAGAAACGTAAATACGATGATATCGAATTTGAGGAATTCGAGGTTTACGATCCGACAAAGGATTTTGAAAAGTTAATTGAAAAAGAAAAACGCCGTGAAGAAGCGAAACGAGACGAACAATCACAGCCATCGCAACATCATGAGCAGCAGCAAGAGCAACTGCCTGTCTATAGCAATTTGTCTACGACATCGTTAAATGGCGCCAACGATGCGGCTATGCGTTACGACGAAGACGAGGATGAAGAAGACGATGGACGTAAATCGAAACTTGGCAGCGAATGCTACGACTATGACAGCCTCGAGGATAAGCTGTGAGGTTGTGCGCGCGGTTCTCCTATTCATCCTATAATAAGTATATTTATGTTATCCCTTTAGTGGTTAAGTGCTTTAAATTAATTTTCGTTCCCGTAATGTGCAGCGCTATCTGAGCAAAATTGACTTCTCCAATCTAATAGCGTGGAATTTATCGGTAATGTAAAATGACAACGATAACGGTGTAGGGAAATTATCTGTATACTACGAGTATTTCATATAAATATTTTGCTAACTGAACGTGTTGCTTTTACAGTTTGATTCAAGAACCAATACCTATATTTCTTTATTTGTTAAAATTAAATACGAAAAAGAACAAATTAGTGCCTTGCACAGGAGTAAATTTCCCTTGGCGATTGCCACGACAAATGCCAAAAGTACTCATTCCAAAGTTTTATGAACATTTCGTAATTAAGATATAATTATATATTACATTGTGTATTTAAAGCGATAAATATATAATATTAATAAAGTAAAAGCATACATACACACCTACTTTATGGGACATACATTTTTAGAATTTTTTAATTATTTATATAATAAAGTGTGTGTGAGATGAGGTCTTAAAACAATTTGTATGAAATCCTTAGGTTAAAGGTGCAACTCTACAAATATTTGGAAAATTATTTTAATATCCAGTCAAAGACAGACTCCTTTATTTTAGCCTCCACAGTGATGCTGAGCATAGCGAACAACGTGCCGAATTGAAAAATTGTGACTTAGTGAAGACTGTGGTTCAAATGTTAATAAGATTTCTGGATGAATAAAAAGAACTCACAAGGATTATGTGAATCTACCTTCAAACTTAAACAAGAAAAAACTTTAACCTCGCCATCTATGATACCCCTCACAAATTCAAAATACTTCTTACAAGATTTTCACGGTTCAATTTGTATAGCAGCTATATGCTATAGTGATTCGATCTGAACAATTTCTTGAGAAATTGCACCATTATCAATTAGATAATACAAGCATTTATTCCGATATTTCAATTTGTACAAAATTTCAGACTGATATCTCAAAAACTGAGAAATTGGTTCGCGTATATACAGACGGACAGACACGTACATGGCTAAATCGACTCGGCTTGTCACGGTGATCATTTATATATATATTTTACAGGGTCTCCGACGTTTTCTCCTGGGTGTTACAAACTTCGTGGCAAACTTAACATACCCTCAGCATATAAAAAGTTTATGCAATAATAGCGTGAACGGTAACTATTGGACAGTAGTCTACCAAAATTGGCACTATGAGTTTATATCAACTTACCCCTTACTATGAACCCTTATTATAATAGGTAGAATTATCAAAATAAGAGAACAGCTGTCTATATCAATTTGCAATTGTGGCTACCAAAAATTTAAACTCAGCGTTGTTATCTTTGTGTTCAATTACAGTAGTTTCAGTTGGCTTCGGCAAAGTAAAGTTTTGTTATTAAGTATCTAACGCAAGCAAATTTAATACTGTAGCCTTCCGCAATAGGTATGCTTAACATGTGGAAGAGTAACTTCCATGTTATGTAAAGTTAATTTCTACATCTATGCTTAATATATATGAGTATCACTCACTCCATTTATTTACTCTCGGTAGATATTTACAGCTCCAGCTTCCGCTGACGGCATGGGTTAACAGTCGAGGTCCAGATTTGTGTTACTGTCCAAAAAACATCAAATGGAAAAATAGTGTTAGGATATCATAAGACAACTTTTCAGCTCGTCCTGCAGTTTCGGCTGACAGTGTTAGTTTTCTTTGACCTTGCTACAGAAAAGAAGGTGTCAGCTTGTGAAAATCTATAAAAATACTTCTTATCTTGCAGAGCTAATGGAAATTAAACAATTTTAACGAATCTGGATGGAAAAACGTGTTTCACCCATTATAATCTGAATGGTCGCCCAACAGATACTCTTCAGTAAAATAAAGAGAATAACAACATACTATCAGATACGCATGAGTGCGAGTTATCTATACTGTATACCAGGCAGGCTTCATGTGAGAGTCCCCATATAAGCTTAAGCTTGTAGTTAAACCTTAAAGAAAATATACTTGCATATTCCACAATTGATGAAAGAAATGATATGATTATCACCAATGTTTTTTTCTGGAAAACAATGCAGTATTAGGAACCGAAAACAATAAACACAGTAAACGTCAAAAAGAAGCAGTTTCCGATGAAAATGTAAAAAAAATGATAATTTTGGATGTCCCTCAATGAAGTTGATTGCGATGACTGACGGTGTAGAGATGTTAAAGCACATATTGGACATAACGGTCATGTACATGTAGGTGAGTGAAAGCTCTATTCAGAGTGAGTGCTGCGCGCGCTAACAGTCGATCGATTTACGGCATACATTTTCATTCGATTACTTCTTCAGTCTCCATAAAACAAATATTAAGACCGTGTTAAGGGGATCATGTTTTTCTAAGTAAATTATTATTTTCTTTCGCTCGAGTAATTTTTTTTTTTCGAAATTATTAGGGCATAGCAAATTTACCAAATGACCCATAGTTATAGCTCAATACCTCAAACATATCGTTTTCAGCTGTTTGCCAATTAATCTAACATATGCAGTCATGCACTTCAGATAATGACATGATAAGGCCAATATAGCTACATACAACAACATATGCAACTACATAGAGGCATTAGCCAGAGTATATGTCAACAACAGCCATTGTTATTCTAAGGAGTACGACCGCATTTAATTAACAGCGAGTGACATTGAGTGGCTAAGTGTCTGTATAGGCACAATAAGCTGCTGCCGCAATGTGTGTGTTGCGAGTGTTGGCACATGCTGCAACGAGTAGAAACCAGCCGGCAGATCATTGGTGCTGGCAGCTGTTTTAACTTGTTATGTACTCGTACATCAGGTAACGAGCGTGTGTGTAAATCTAAGCTCAACTGAACCCACACACACAACTTCATTATCGCTTACCTGTGCGTTGTTGTTGCTCGTCCTTTGATGTGTCGTTGCTCTGTTTACAATATCTCCTGGAGCTCCACGAATTCTGAAAAAGAGGCGAGAGAAGAGGGGAAATATAAACCAATGGTATCAACATGATATAAAAAACAGTTTGTTTTTTTTTTTGTTGTATATTTTTAAAATATGTAAATATTTGACATACTTTTTTTATGCAAGCAAATTTGCCGCATATAAATTGTGTTGGCATAGCCGAAGCAGGAGCTATCTAAGATAACTGTGTAAAAATTGTGATAATGCAATTTGAAATTCAAATACCGAAAATGAATAAGAGAAGATGGCTTCAAAGAGTGTACAAAAAAAATAATGTTATAGAAAGTTTTATATTCTCGCATTTGTGAAGCAAAAGATGAAATATCAACAACCAAAGCCAAAATTTAACAAATATGGAGGGCCTTTGTTTGGTTGAAGTGGAAAATTATATACCTTCGGAATTGTAAGATTCCAATGGGTGGAAATATTTTCAGGTGTAAGTAGGAGTTTATAGATATTACAAAATGTTGCATATGAATACACTAATTTTTATACTCTCGCAACATGTTGCTACAGAGTATAATAGTTTTGTTCACCTAACGGTAGTTTGTATCACCTAAAACTAATTGAGTTAGATATAAGGTTATGCATATAATATAAATGATCAGGATGAAGAGACGAGTTGAAATCCGAGCGACTGTCTGTCCGTCTGTACAAGTTGTAACTTGAGTAAAAATTGAGTATGAAACTTGGTACACATGTTTCTTGGTAACGTAAGACGGCTGCTGTTGCAGATGGGCGTAATCGGACCACTGTCACTCCCACAAAATTATCCCATTCATCAAAAGCAAATAAATTGACATGCTCCACAGTGAGATACAAGACAGTTATTTGATATACAGGATCACATTAGGGAGGGGCATCTGCAGTTTCAAACTTTTTTTAAGTGGGTGGTCCCGCCCCCTAATAGATTTAATGTGCATATCACCTAAACCGCTTAAGCTATAATAACAAAATTCACAGAGAGCAAGCGTTTTTAGCACCTCTATCGACACTGTGAAAATAGTTGAAATCGGGTGGCAACTCCGCCCACCCCCATATAACGGTACTGTTAAAAACTACTAAAAGCGCGATAAATCAAGCACTAAACACGCCAGAGACATTAAATTTTTTCTCTGGGATGGTATGAGATGACTTTATAGGAACCGCGTTCAAAATTAGACAGTGGCCGTGGCACCACCCACTTTTAGGTGAAAACCCATATCTTGAGATCTGCTTAACCGATTTCAACCAAATTCGGTACATAACATTCGCCTCATATTTCTATGTTATAGTGCGAAATTGTATTACAACCATATGTCTGTGAGTGGGTGGAAAATGCCTTCCGTATCATCAGTGCTGTCGTCGCAACAACGGTATGTGGCACTTGCAGGTCACTGAAAACCCCCCATCTAGGAAACCGTAATGTAACTTTGTAAAATGGCTTCGCTCTTTCTTATCATAAAATCTACACGAAATAAAAGTACAATTCAAACCAGGAGCATTTCTCAGCTAAAAACAAAAACATTGATATATAACTACAATGATTTGCAATATCCAATTATGCAACATAAGAGTAGAGTTCAAAAAAGTTGAAGGGAAAGTAATTTCGGTTAATTTCTGTGTGTTTAAAGTGTATACTAAATCATAAATATACATTCAAGATAAAGGAAATTGGGTGTCGCATGAATTGAAGCCAAAACTTTGAAAGACGAATTTGCATGACAGAAATGCTGTTTGAAGATTTTTTTTGTTCATCCTATGTGAGTGGTGTATCCACTTTTTTCTTGGGTCGGGATCGCTTTCGTATTATTTCAGGACAAGGTTTCTAAGATGGACTCATTGCAAGGCAGTTTATACCCTCCTTGCGTCCAGGGATGCTTACGATTTGGTAGCCAGCTATTTGCTATTTGCCTCAACTTCTATTGACTCGATCTCTCCGGGGCCGCAGAGTCCACATTTGAATACGGTTCACATCAGAACAGAGTAGCAAAAATTGGCTTGGTTCATTTTTGGATGCAAAACCGAACTGCGCCGTAATATGTAAATGTCTTTTTACAGCATTTTCCAATTGTGCTACATAAAAATAATAAAAGTCATAAAATATATTATGATTTTGATGCATTATTTTGTGAAATGTTGTAAAAAATTGTAAAAGTTATCCTTTATGGTGTAAGGTTTGACTTTGACCTCGAGTAACTTTTGAGCGAGTCGACTTTGCAAAAAGTAATTTTAAACCTGTTTTTAGATTATTAAATTATCTACAAATTTAAGTTTTCATTTTCGAAACACAATAATTTGCTCAAATGTATTATACATACTAAAAAAAAAAGGGAATAATACGAGTTATTTATATGGGAAATAATATTAAGACCTAAAATTTTACTAGAATATTTTTTCGACGTTTTGGACGATATTTTCGCGTTATTTAGGAGAAAAGATTTTTTGGCGCACTCTGTTGTACTGAAATACATTTATTTATGCCTATAAATATCACAATATTCAATCACAATACTCAAATCAGTCGTTTACTTGACACCTTAAAGTATGTATTACATTGCAAAATAACATTCATATCTCGAAAATTAAGATGCAATCAATTAAATTGCTGCTACAAATTAGTCGCGTGTCGTAAATTTCAACGACATGTCAAACTAAATAATGACCTTCTACTCACTCAATGAGCGACAGGTGGAGTGGAGAGTGGACTTTTAAGGATTAAGATGCAGGCATGCGGAGAAAGCCCCGTAGGGAAGAGCATTAAGGCGATTTTGTTTATTTTATTTTAACTGTTCATGGATAATGATCATTACTCAGCCCGCGGTGTTAAAAAAGAGATTGCAGTTCAACGGCCCAGCGCAAGAGAAATGATTATGTGCTATTAACTTTGTTTTCACATTAATTTTGCTATCAGGCCAGAGTTGCTGAAACTGTTATACTTAACAAAAGGTATTATTACATTATCTGTAGATATTGTGCAATTTTCACCAGGGATTAAAAATGAATGAAATGGTTTTCCACTGAAGATCTTGAAATGATGTAGAGTGTATTAATCTACGACCATGTAGGGAAAATAAGAGAACTGATTGAGACACAGTAAACACTAGTAAAAATTTATACAGGGGGATCTGTGAGGATTGAGGATTTATGTTACGAGGTACGTAATCTAGAAATTTCTTCTTAATTATTTTAATAAATCGATTTTTGTTTGCATATTGATTTTTATCGAGGGTACATATGTTTATTTGAGACTATTTTCCGAATTTGAAATTGATCCGGTAAACAGTTTCGGAAATATGAGGAATTTGTAAGAATTTAACTTAATGTATTTAGCTTAGTATAATTAAATTAAATTGGCTCCCAAAACTTTTGACGGATTTATCTCAAACCTCTGTTTTGAAAGTTGGTCAGGAAATTTTTCCGACTTGAAGTTTTCACACCATGGAATAATACTCTGAAGTATAAATATTTTCACAAAAAAAAAAACGACCTTTTAATACTTTTTTTGAGAAGTCGCCATTTCGTCAATAATCAAAATTTTGACTAGTCCTAAAATTTTGTTTGTTTTTCCTTAGCTCACACCTTATTTCCTCCTGGAGATCGGCTATAGAATCAAAGGAATCCAAAATATTGAAATAATGAATCACCGATTTTTAAAGTAATTTTCTTTTCTCATGTATATATAACATGCGATTTCTTGATATTTTGTATTAAGAAATTAAATTTATGATATTCTGATACCAATTTTATTGCTCAATAAAAAAGATCTTAATAGCTTTTTCATAAAATCTTTCGTTTAAAAGTTATACTCAGTTAAAGTTACACATCAAATGATAAATTCTATGTTACACATACGACATGGTGTACTATATCAATACAGTACACTTGATACATATAGGAGCTCAACTTTGACTTTAACTTTGAAGCAAGTGATTTTTTTGAAAAATGTCACGGAAAGTTTTTGTAGAGCGTTCGATTTTCTATCAAAATAATTCGATGCCGCAGCAATGTATTAACTGGCTTCGCAAAGAAAAACTTATTTGCTAAAAGTACGAAAACCCTATGTCATTTAAATGGGAAATGGGAAATCGTCTTTGCCGCATGGGTTATTATCAATATTAAGAGCTCAAATGGGTTTCATAAATTTTTAAGGCGTTTATTAAAAGTTTTAGGGGCGCTGAAGAGTTAAAAATTTATTTGTGAAATAACGGACACCCTAATCTACATCAATGTCGAGATCAAAATTCTACAGCCCTTCATTAGATTAAAAAGTATTGTTGTAGATTTTCTGTGAGGGAATAGTCTCGAAAAGGTAATTCTTTATAAGTAGCTCGAATACAGAAAATATGTTTAGTGCCACCATTTTAATTTTATCAAACTTAAGTATATCCTAACTTAAGGGAGATCATACTTTTTTAAGCAAGAATTTCCTAGCAGGGTGCAAGCTGCTCGTGTCCCGATAACTCATATAAAGTTCGCGAATAAATTCAATTAAACTTAAACGCCGACCAGGGAAATCATGTGTGGCATAAAAGTGAGAGCAGAAGAAGTCAAGGTTTTATATAAGAGTATTATCTATCACACGTGCTACCATTTCGTATAGATGTCGTGTTTATGTGCTCAGGCGAAATATACAATTTGTTTTTATCGAGCAGCAATCGGCTCACCAAATATCAGTTGCGAAATTTTAAATTAACTTTGCCTACCGGTGCAATCATTTGGTTGTTGGTTATTTACGGTTACATTACATACATTTATACAAATATACATGTGTGCTATCCATCCATGACTTACTTTTATTATTGGGTACGCTCGTGCGGTTGTTGTATTCAATCAACCATGAAAATAAATCACACAGACACAAAATTGCCAGACATTTATTGAAGTTGTGCAGAGCAAAGGGAAAAGAGAACCCAGAGATCGCTCAGGAAAACAGACACATGAGTGAAATACGATGGGTTTTTTTATACAGAAAATCGCGTAGGAAAATACTGACAGAAAACGACTATATATAAA